ATGCTGTTTCAGTCTGTTGTGCGTAGGGCTGCTTTGTGTTACAATGACTAACCAGCTCCTAACACAATGCTCTGAATTCCTTCAAAGGTGCTTTCGTAATTGTATCTCAAAGGGAAATTCTCTGCATGTCAAGCAAGTCACAGTTAATCTGATCCACGTAAACTAAGCAGCAGCTGATGTTATCTGAACTTCATTTGCCTACTGAACCTGTAGCAACATGTCACCCAACTTCTTTAAAAAGTGGTTGGCAGAAAAGTGAAAAAGATTAGGAGAAATTTTTCAGGAACCATATATTTAAGAGTTTAGTATCCAAAATGTATTTTTTAAATTGTGTAGCTTACAAGACAAACCCAATGAAAAAGTGGACAAAGGGCTTTCAACATTTTATCAAAAATGATATTCAAATGACTAACACTAGCCATTAGATAAAATCAAAACTACACTTCATCCTTATTAGATACAACTTCAACCCTATCATAATGGCATTAAAAAACAACAAAAACCTAAAAACAAATAAAGCTGTGGAGAAACTGGAACCCTCCTCCATTTATGGTGGGAATATAAAACGGTACATCTACTGTGTAAAACAGTTTGGTGGTTCCTCATAAAACTGAACATAGAACTATACTGCTGTCATTAAGTGCTGTCGAGTCAGTTCCAACTTATAGTGCCTCTGTACAGGTTTTCCAAAGACCAGCTGGCAGGTTTGAATTTCCAGCCTTGTGGTGAGCTTCTAAGAATACCCATAGAACGACAGAAACCAGCAATCCCAATTCTAGCTATATGTCCAAAGGAAGTGAAGGCAGGGACAAATGCAGAAACCTGTATGCCCACTTTAATTGCAGTACTTTTCACAATAGCCAAAAGTAGAAACCACCAAAATGTCCACCAACAGATGATTAAGTGGCATATACACATAATGGAATACTATTCAGTCATCAAGAGGAATGAAGTCCTGATACATGCCACAACATGTATGAACCTTGAAAACATCACACTGAGCAAAGTCAGTCACAAAAGGGCAGACACTATATGATCTCGTTTATATGAAATAGCATTATTTATAGAAATCAAAATTGTTAGTGGTTACTGGTGGGTAGGAAGGAGAGGGGAGTTTTTGTTTTGGGGGCAGCAAGTTCATGTTAATGGTAGAATGATTTAGAAAAGGATTATTACTAGCACTTGGTCTGCCAAGATCCATCTGACGTTAGCAATGATATCCCTCATTCCACATCCTCCTCTGAATCCAGCTTGAACCTCTGGAAGTTCTCTGTCAATGTATGGTTGCAGCCATTTCCATATTACCTTTAGTAAAACTGTTGGCCCAGGACTGGGCAGTGTTTCGTTCTGTTGTGCATAGAGTCACTATGAGTGGTGCCAACTTGATGGCACCTAACAACAACAATTACTAGCTCTTAAACTGAATTCCTCCAGGGTTTAAAATTGTAAATCAGCATAAAAACTGGATATGCCAACAATATTTTAATAAAATACTAGGCACACCTTGCAAAGTTAGACTTGTTATTGTATTTGATTCTTCCTGATAACCAAGGCAGTGCATTTTCATACATAGACAATTTTGAAAATATAGAAAAGCATAAAGAAAAAAGACATCTGTAGTCTCACTACCCAAGGCAATGTTACAATTTAACATCTTAATTTGTTGAGGCACAGCTTCATCTAGACTTCAGGCAGCTGGCTCATGGAATTATCATGTTACTAAAAAAGCGCATTCAAGTTTGCGATCCTTTCCACAAGCTCTTATATACATCATCTCATTCATCTACAAAACACCAACAGCACAGAGATTAAGAGTGAGGACTATGTAATCAAATACCTCATGGGATTTAGTCCCTTAATTTGGCAGTTTAGGGTCATGGTTTCATGGGACATTCTAGTTAATTGACCTAATAATATGTGTAGTGCTTCTGTTCTGCCTCCAAGATCACTGAGTAGTGCCTGGGGTCTTAAAAGCTTGCAAGCAGACATCTAAAACACAACAGTTGGTCTCTATTCACCTGAGCAACAGAGGAGAGTCAGGAACAGGAAGAGGATAAGGAATGTGTAGCTAATTGTCTCCATGAATAACCCATCTCCTCTGCTGCCATGAGTCCAGAAGAACTAGATTATGTCCAGCTACCATTACTGAACATTTAAATATTCTATAAAGGGTCAGCAAAACAAAGGAAGACCGTCAATAAGAAGAATTAATACCATACGTAGCTGCAATGATTGTGAGGGCGGCGCAGGGCCGGGCAGTTATTTCCTTCTGCTGTGAGAGTTGAAACGAACTCAGTGGCATCTAACAACAATGTGATAGCCAGCCTTTTCTTGAGCAGTAGTGACGATGAGTACATTATATCTTTAATTATTTTACGCTGAGATTGCTAATTGCATGCTGACATTTTCTACTTTCGAAGTCTTTTTAAAACAAGTTTAGGTATTTTTGTTCATTATTACTATTGTTGTTGTTAAGTGTCATTGAGTCGGTTCCAAGCCATAGTGATTCTGCATAGGGTTTCCAAGGAGCAGCTGGTGAGCTTGAACCACTGACCTTGTGGTTCAAACTGACTTTGCAGTCCAGCATATTAACCCACAGTGCCAAACCAGGACTCCATGCTATAGAATAGTCAAACCCACTGACATCAAGTGAATTCTGACTCATTGTGGTTAGCAGTCCAACACCTAACCCACAGCACCATCAAGGCTCCTCATCTTAGAAATTCACTGTCCCATAGCATGTGCACATGCAGAAACAAAAATATATCCTTAGATACATTTCTTCAATATTATTCTAATTATTTAATTCATCTGAAAATTTGTTTGTGCTTACAATGCAAGATGGTTCCAAAATTATGTTCTTCTACCAGGTGCTCCTTAGAAACCCTTTTCAGTCAAGGTTGAGTCCGAACCTACTCAACAACACAACATTAACAATCAGCATGTCTGTCTATTTCAACCCAAATTGACAAATATACTTATATGCATGTTTTCCTATAACTTAACACAAAGATTATTTTTTTATATATTAAATAATCATTTAAAGACTTTTGGGAAAAATCCACTATTTTTTAGTTCCATTTTTCTATGAACTGTCTGAAGACACCTAGTATTCTATATTAGAATCCTAATTGAAAGGGGGAAAATGTAGAAAGGTGTTTCAAACTCTCACGGGCTCTAGACTTTCTGGAACCCTAGAGGGTGGAGTCCTCATATGGCGCTGTGGGTTAATGTGCTAGACTGCAAAGCCACTGAACTGCAAGGCTAGTGGTTCAGGTTCACCAGCTGCTCCTCAGAAACACTATACAGGGTCGTTATGAGTCAGAACCAGCCCGATGGCAGTTTATAACAACAGTGGGTGGATAAATCCCTCAAGCTACTGCCCTGAGATAATCTTTAAATCTTAAACCAAAAATATCCCCTGAAGTTATCTTAAAAATCCAATAAAACTCACGTCAACTCCAACTCAGAGCGAGCCTATAGGACAAGGAAGAAGTACTTCATAGAGTTTTCAAGGCTGTAAATCTTTATAGAAGCACACTGCCTCAGCTTTCTCCCACAGAACAGTTTGTGGGTTTAAAACACTGACCTTTTGACCTCTGCTTTGAGCATTTTGCTCTTTCTTAAACGCAGGAGAAAAATGAGGCTTTCTGCTCCCGTAAAGATTTACAACCTCAGAAACCCTGTACAGGGTCGCGATGAGTCGGAACCGACTCCACGGCACATAACAACAACAACATATGGATCAGATTGACAATAGCAACTCAAAAGATTAGATAGTACCCTTAGGGTGGTGGAAGAACAACCCAGAAAAGGAAGGCAAGAATGGTGGTACTACTTGAAGAACGTTTATGTCATTAAGTTATACACAGAGAAACTTAAATTGGAGTCCATATTGCTGTAGATATACAACAACAACAAAGTAAATAAAATTTAATGGGGAAAAAAAAAAAAAAAAAGAAGCCTACAGAGCCAGACTGTTTTAAGGACAAACAAAAATAGCTTCACTATTTACACTTAAACATATCTCTATGCCTCCTCTTGCTAATCTGTATAAAGGGGCTAACAGCAATATCATAAAACTGAGTTGTCATACAAATGACAGGAATTAATATTTGTATTTAAGAGTGTCTGCCAATACCATTTAAGTATTTATAAGATATATAATTTTCAAAAGCAAAAATAAATTACCCTTTTTAGACAGGGATGGCCATGCAACTTAGACACTGGCTACCCAAAATGGGGTGGGGGGGGAGGGAGACTACCAAGGCAGGAAGTGACTGGCTTACAAGCTTTCAAGAGGGAGCCTAGATCCAGAGGGCGTGGGGAAGGTAGAATCTCCATTGAGTGGTAACCAATCTGTCTGGATGAGGCTGATGAAAGGAGATAAGGATGACACTCATGTGGTACAATAGTGAGTAACTGCTATCAGGACTAACTGTGAGGGTTGGAAATGTACAGGTAGACGTTTTGTAGCAAAACGAGGGGAGTGGTTGACTTTGCAATCCAGGAGTGGAGGTTCCTGGGATCATGAAGGGAGAAGAGCAGAGTGCGGGACCCTACCCAGAGAAGCAGTGACGCCAGAGATGGAGATGACGTGGAGAGATGGAGCAGCTGGGGACTTTAGACCCAGAGAGAGAGATGGGTTGTGTGCTGAGGACCCAGGGGCAGGCTTGCGGAGCGTACCCTTTGGTTGTTTGATGATACATGAAGGGGATTATAATCATGGCAATGAAATGATATACGATGGATGACTGTACAGCTAATGTTACCATATGTAAACTATCACATAAGTCACAATAACAACTTTTAAAAAAATAAAATAAACTACCCTTTCAAGTACCAAGTGGCTAAACAGTCTGCATATTTCCTATACATAAATAATTTTGCCTCACAATCTTATAACTAGGCCTTACATTTAGGTAGAGAACTGCAAGAAAGTATAATTCCCAACACTCATCAAATTAAAAGTTTTGGGTTAAATGGAAGGGAAAAATTACCTCATGAACTTATCTAATATGTCCTCTACCCACATGTGCATTCGGAGGAACTGGAATCCATAGTGCCAAACTAGTTTAATCATGTTAATTATAAACCAGTGGCTCTCCTCAAACACAAGTTTCTCTCCATTATACACTCCCATTAGGCCATCAGAGCCCTTTGCAGCAGAGAGACCTGAAAAAACAAGAGTACACAAGTCAGTGGCTTCTAAGGAGACCAAGCGAAAGAAAGTAGCCTGAAGTTACCCAGGGACACTCTGAAGTAGTGAATTCAGGGCTTCCCTTGGTTCTCAGGAGACACAGGACAGGAGCTCTATCTTTAAAACAGTGTGATGTGTTATACTGTCTAAAAGCAGATAGGTCAGAGGGTCATACTGACATAGCAATCTACAAAGACTTTTCAAAAAGTCAGAGTATCAACCTAACTCATTAGGAAACAAAAATGTCAGGCATGAATCTTTATGGTATGAACTGCCTCCTCGTTTGTCTTTGCAAAGGAGATGGCGACCCAACAGATAGATATCCACAGGGTATCTGGAAGGCAACTGAGAAGGAGACACTCCTATTCTTGTGTGAATATCCTATTTTACTTAACTGAAAATTTCAAATAATTCAAAGGAGGCCAACATTTTATAAGATGGAGTCCCTGAGGAAAGGGCCTATCAGAATTCCCTTACAACCTGTCCAACTCCTTTCCTAGTAAGGAAACAGTCCCAGGCTCTAGGCACATATCACACCCATACCTCTGTGCCTTTGAAGTCAAATACTTCATGGCGTTAGGCCTCATTTCTTCCACTATAAATTGAGAATTCTAAGGTTCTTACTAACTTAAAAACATTCTTTGATTCTTCAACTGGAACACAGAGGTCCAAGAATTAACACTAGCAGCCACCCGTACCTCTTGCCATGCCTCTACTCCATGGCTGTAATTCCAGATAACTGAAGATACAGATAACTTAGTGTCCCTTTACAGGAGAGCAACTCCTAACTAAGGCTATACCAACTGCTAACAGGACAGTGAGGAAAACAGTTGTAACAACTTCTCTGTAAATGACAATTAACAAAACAGTAAAGTGTCAGTTCCCCATATGATAAAAGTATCCATGGATGATCACACAGAGACCTGCTGAGTTTCTAAGACCAAAATTACATACCAAGGTCCTTGACAAAACGCTTCATATGCAGATTTAAAGGATGGATGACAGAACCTCCTGACTCATATTCTTGCCCTGCCACCATCATGGTGGCCAGGCGGCCTCCCACCTCTCCTCGTTCAAACAGGTCAATCTTCACATCTTTCCCAAATTTCTGGCGTAGGTAATAAGCTGCTGAAGTGCCACCAATTCCAGCTCCAATAATCGCTATGGAGAAAAAAGGTTACAGTTTCTCTCCTTCTTACCAGCTGTGTTGGTTTGAACAAGGGTGACTTGGGAATATTAATTTAGGAAGCCTTGGAGGAAGGCAAGTGACACTATGAATGGAGACAGACACACACACACCCAAACAAAAGTGGAGATAAATTCATTTTTAAATTGACATAGTAATATCTTTTCTATGCCAGATGCCCAAAGATGCTCAGTACTTTATAGATGGAGCACCAAGAGCCTGCATACCCTTCCGGGCACAGAAGAAGTTAGCTCTAACCAGCAGCACAGAAAAAGTTAGATCTATCCAGCACTCATCTTAAATAAAGCACTCTCTCAATTAATTCCAAGGAAGATGGCTTGGGAGGTAAGAGAGTGGGGGACAACCCGGGAGCAAAATACCCAGAAAACTGAAACTAGAAAAAAAAAAAAAAAAAAAAGTTCTTTCGGCAACTGTAGGAGAAAGGGCAGAGGAATTGTGCAAGCCGCAGAGTAGGCCGACCTCAGCGGCGTCGTGTTGGGGGAAGGGAGTTGCAGCCTATCAAGGGAAATAGGCAGGGTCCGCTTGCTCACACTGCCCAAGGTGCTGTGTCTGCAAGCCCAATGGGAGTGGCCCGTCTCTCCACCACGAGCTAAACGTGGCCCGTCTCCCAAAAGGTGAACTAAGAGAAGGTGGCGAGAGGGACCTCGGCTTCCCCGCAGCCCAAAGCCTTGGCGACTAGAGCTGCAGGGGATGCTTGGTGGTCGAACGGCCGCCTGCTCCAGCGCCTACTACATGGTCCATTCTTCAAGTGGGCATATCTGCTCGCCCGCCAGTACACAGTCCCGTCCCTGGGAGACCAAAAGCGGCCCTGCAAGGAGGACTCGGCCTGCGGCCCGGCTCCCAATTGGTAACTGCGGGCCCTAAGTGCATCACAAAACAGCTGCCCAACGCGGGGCGCGCTCCAGTACCCTTTCCCAGGCCACTCCGCAGTTAGCCTACCGATCTTATCCGGTGGGGCCCGAGGCTCGGCGCTCCCAGGGTGCCCCAAGCTACACAGCAGCAGCCACAGGCCCAGAAGCTTCAGGACCAGCTCCGCAGTGGTTCGTCCCATGGCCTCCACAAGCGCAGCAGATAGCACGGCGAGCCCAAACTCAGCTCCGTGCTGCGTGACTGCGCCCTCCGCCTGCCCCGCCCCACTGGCCCCGCCCAGATCCTTCCTGATTCCACCCAATTTACAGCGGGCCTTCACACCCGGGCCCCGGGACCTCAGCTGTGCTCTCCACGTGGGTCTCCAAAGGCCACCCCGTCCTTCCGAAGCTCACTGTGGAAGTGAGCAAGTCTCCTGGTGAAATTTCACCCTAGCTCCCCTCCTTCCCTCCCATCTTTTCAGATGGAATGCCTTACCTCTTCACTAGGGCCCTCTCCAGCCCCTTCAGTCAGTCACTTGTTGTTAAGTTCCGACCTATAGCAACCCTGTATAGTTTCTGAGAAGCGCCTGGTGAGCTTGAACCGCTGGCCTTGAGGGTCAAACGACTTTGCAATATAGCGCATTATCCCACAGCGCCACACCAGTACTCCTTCAGTCAGTTGTTATTGTTTGTTGTTGTTAGGTGCCATCGAGTCAGTATCGACTCAAAGCGACCCTATGCACAACAGAACGAAACACTGCCCGGTCCTGGGCTAACCATAATTGTTGCCACGCTTGAGCCCACTGATACTGCCACTTTACCAATCCATCGCGCTGGGGGTCTTCCTCTTTTTCTCTGACCCTCCACCTTACCAAGCATGATATCCCTCAACAGCGACTGGTCCTGCCTGACAAGAGGACTGAAGAATGAGAAACGAAGTTTGCCCATCCTGGCCTCCTAGTAGCACTCTGACTGCACTTCTTCCAACACAGATCTGTTGGTTCTTTTGGCAGCCCATGGTGCTTTCAATATTCTCCTCCAACACCATAACTCAAATGCATTAATTCTTCTGCGGTCTTCCTTATTCCGTCTTCCTTTATGCACTCTCCAGCTTTCGCATGCATATGAGGTGATTGAAAATACCATGGCTTGGGTCAGGAACACCTTAGTCCTCAAGCTGACATCCTTTCTCTTCAACACTTTAAAAAGGTCTTGTGCAGAAGATTTTCTTTTGATTTCTTGACTGCTGCTTCCATGAGTATTGATGGTTGATCCAAGAAGAATCAAGTCCTTGACAATCTTTTTTCCGTTGATAAGAATGTTGGTTTTTGGTCCACTAGTGAGGATTTTTGTTTTCGTTACATTGAGATGCAAATCATACCAAAGGCTGTGGTCTTTGATCTTCATCAGTAAGTATTTTAAGTCCTCTTCACTTTCAGCACACAAGGTTGTATCATCTGCATATCGCAGGTTGTTAATGAGTCTTCCTCCAATCCTGATACCACATTTTTCTTCATAGAACCCAGCTTCTCAGATTATTTGCTCAGTATACAGGTTGAATAAGTATGGTGAAAGAATACAACCCTGTCACGCACCTTTCTTAATTTTAAACCATTCTGTGTTCCCATGTTCTGTTTGAACAACTGCCTCTTAGTCCATGTGCAGATTCCTCATAAGCACAATTAAGGGTTCCAGATACTCATCCTTCACAGTGTTGTCCATAGCTTGTCATGATCCACATAATCAAAGGCCTTTGCATAGTCAATAAAACCCAGGTAAACATCTTTCTGATATTCTCTGCTTTCAGCCAAGATCTATCAGACATCAGTGATGATATCCCTTGTTCCACATCCTCTTAGAGAACGCATATAGCTAGTCTCTAGCAGAAAATATGTGTTATCCGATGGGATAACACATACCTACTGAGTGATCACTATGTTTAGTGATACTTACATATGAGGTTAAATGAGAAATGATGCTAGGTTAAAGGAAAACTGACATTGAGTTGAGCTGGCTGGTCCAAAGATTATTGATTCATAGTGACCATGTATGGAGATCCCACAACTTTGCTGGAATAGAAAGCCTCATCTTTCTTCTGTGCAGCAGCTGATGAACTCAAACTGATGCCCTTGTGGTCCTCAGTCCTGTGCTTATGGTACAGAACCACTTGGTATGCAACTCTTGGCCCAAGGATTGTTGTTGTTAAGTGCCGTCAAGTCGGTTCCGACCCATAGCGACCCTGTACAGGGTTTCCGAGGGTGTAAATCCTTACGGGAGTAGAAAGCCTCATCTTTCTCCCGTGGAGTGGCTGGTAGTTTCGAACTGCTGACCTTAAGGTTTGCAGCCCGATTCGTAACCACTACGCTACCAGAGCTCCTTTGGCCCAAGGATAAGAGAATGGAAAATAACAGATATGAATAGAAATATTATATATGAACAGTGGGTCATTATACAAGCATTAAGAAGAATGTTGGCTCAGTTAACTTTCTTAGGCAAGTCTTCTAGAGAAACAAAACCAGTGAAACATATATGTATATATATATAAAGAAGTTTATATCAAGGAAATAGCTCACAATTATAGAGTCCAAAGTCCCCAGTAGAAAAAGAGCAAGCTTTTCCTGCATGTCCATTAATATTGTTGTTGATGTTAAGTGCTGTCTAGTCGATTCCGACCCATAGCAACCCTGTATAGGGTTTCCAAGGAGCAGCTGGTGAGTTTCAACCACCGACATTGCAGGTTAAATGACTTTGCAGTCTGGTGCATTAACCCACAGCGCCACACCATCATTAGGAGCAGGGAAACATCCTTTCATTTGATTGGATACCAATCATCATAGAGTTAACTATCAACTGCCAAACCGCTGGGAATCCTGGCCCAGTCAAGTTGACACAAAACCTCATTACAATCCACCCCTTGTCAACTTGGCACCTATAAAATATATGCACAATCTCTAAATAAAGAGAATTGTAAAGTTATAATTAACTAAAACACATACAACCGAAAACATACTGGTCCTGTTTACATATTATATTTAGCAAATGAGCAAATGAACAAAGCAAAAATATCTGATTCACACCTACACTAACAAAAACATTCATTTAAATGTACAAAGGTCACATCCTATCCACAGACACACAATTTTGCTTATTTCATGGGCCTAGAGTGCACAGCTACTCTGTCTCTCCATGCCACCACCTCTGCTGTCACCTCTGCTGTTGCTGCTTTTCTAGGTAGGGATCTCATGCTCTGCTCATCCTCTTCCTTTTTGATGGTCCTGGGATTGTTTCTTCCTACTTCTGAGATGGTGCCTTTTAAACTTAGTTGGATGGCAAAACTAACCAATCTGGGGCTTAAAAGTTTATAATTTTGACAATCAAAATTAATCTTGCTAACAATTACAACTGAATCATAGAATCCCATCAGCATCATCCCCACGCCTTTTCGCCAGACCCATCTAGAAAAGAAGAAACTATTCAGTGCGGATTCTCCCTTGTCCTCCTAAATTCTGATACTACGCACACACACATGAAATCTTGTAAGACAGCCAGTTCATGCCTTTATAGACCATATTTTTTTATCAATAATAAATTTTTATAATTTTTTATAAATAATTTTTTTATTGCCCATCCCTATCAACCTGGTACACTGAGGAGACAAACATGTACCTTCACCTGAAGAATCTTCCATTCCAGTCGGAACTTTGAGCAACCGCATCCATTAGCAAAAAGTTCAGTCCATCAAGTTGTACCAATTTACATCTGCTCACAGTATTAAACATGTTTCTCTTCTTCTAGTCAGGTTCTGGTCAACTCAGCACTAGCCATACAAGCTAGGTCAAATGGGTACCCGCTGCAAGTTTGGGAGTTCACACACACCTGCCCTGCACTTCAGACCAGCTGGTCCCTTCATTCTCTACCCTAGGTCCCAAGGGCTAAGTCAGTGTTCATGGGCTCAGGATTTCATACAGATCAGCCAACCCTTCCTTTTCTGTCATCTAAAGGTCAACAGGTGCCAATGGAACATGTCCAAAGTCATCCTTCCTCTTCATTGTTGCATTTCCCCCAGTTCCACTCACAAGTACACCCAGGTGGTTACCAGCAAGCTTACTACCTGCTGTTCACCTACTGCCTTTAACTTTCAGTCCTAGAAGGGGATTTTCTCTGATGGGAAGACTTTTATGGTCTTGATGTCTCCAAAAGCTTTCTTAAAACTCAAAAAAGAAAAAACAGTCTGCTTTTTTTTCTGCAGATCTTTCTTTCAGTCATAAATCTCTTGTTGTTCCAGCACTTCTGGATGGTCTGCATGTCTTTTCAAATACAAATATAAACCTATTTCATTTGGGCAAATTCTAACTTCCCTTTTAACAAATCCAATCAAGTATAGGCTGAAGAGAGGATTACAAGCTGTCTGGAATCATAATTTCCAATATTCATTTCCATCACACATGTATGTCTATTTTACAGTAGTAGTCCGGGAAAACCAATATCCATAAGGCAGTCAAACACATAAACCTTTTTTTAAAAACACTAAAGTTCAATCTTTTCTTCACCCTTTGACTAATTGATGTGAAAGATCTGCCACTGCAGGCTTCATCTTCAACATCATTTAGTCCCTTCTTGCAATGAGTTGTTATCCAAGTTATCCATTTGCAGACTGCCGATTTCCTTGGGACATTGTTGCCAGAAACTTTTGTAAAGCATTAGTGAGTTCATCATTCTTCCACCCCAGCATGGCCATAAATATGCTGTTTTGTTGTTGTTTTAATTTCAGAATTTATGTTGCTCTGCTAAGGGTTCTTTTCAAACTGATGTCTTATCTTAGCGCTTTACACTAGAACTTTTACAGACATGTAAAAGTTAAGTTTATTTAGGTGGAGATAAAAGGTTGAAATCTGCAAAGGATTAGCCAAACATTCCTTCCACAGCTCTCCACTTCTGCACTGGGTTTAATAATTCATTGCAATGGTCACACAGAACTAGGACACCACACTCATAGGGTTTATTAGGAAATTAATAGATCACATTTCAGGGTCAGAAAGGCTCAGGGCACAGTTGTTCTAGTAAAGAAAGCTCCTCAGTCAAGTCATAGGCAGTCCTTTCTCTGCCCAGCCAATATTACAAAACTCTTTTAGAGCTGCTGATAAATGCCTACGGGACACACCACTCCACCATAAGCCTCAGCCTGAAGGCACTCAGCTCAAGC